TTTCGAGACGGCGATAAAATAATTCTAGGAAAGGCGAAACGGAAGAATAAACTACGATTCTTTGTAATTCCGACCTCGTAAGATTTCGCCTTTGCTTTTTTTCCTAAAAATCGTTTTCAGCTCCGGAGACCCGCTCGAGCTTGCTGTAGATTACTGAGGACTGCGAACGATTACCACAAACTGATAAATTGGAATAAGCTTTGCAAGGGTGAAAGAAACGGAAAACGCGAACAACAACATAGTCTATATGTTGCTCAAAGCACAGTATATGATGTTAATTGAAATGTTAAGTAGGGACAGACAAGCCTTTTCTTATTCAGTTGTTTTCCTCAGTGCTTATAACACACTAGCTAAAATTGCATCAAACATTTTATCAAAAATAACAGGATTGAACAGTGGAAAAGGTTGTCTAAAAATCCGTCTTTGGTCGGGTTTCAATCCATTTCTTAAGTGCAGGATTTGAACGGACCTTTTCAGCATGAGCCTTGATCTGTAATATAGATATAAGAGCATCGAGCAACGATAGTGAGCTAGATTAGTAGTCCTAATACTCATCAGTAATTGCTTACCTCTGGGAACCCGTCGCAGAGTGTAGGAACTGTTTTGGAGAATTCCGCACTGAGCTCAGCGAGAAGAAGGTCGGCAACGGTTATTGAACTGCCAACGAGGTAGCCTTAGAGAAGGTATTTCAGAAAACAAAAGGACAAGGTAGTATCGCCGTATAATTTCAAGAATGTTCAAAACAAGACACACCGCTATTGTTCTTTTTGAGAAATTTTGTCATGTAAGGGAAGAACTTGTCACGAGCGGGAAGAACCACATCCTTTATGATTTGGTCCTGCAAATGAAGTGACACAATTAGCAGCAATTGGTGATAAATGATTGTCAATACAGGCTACTTTTCTTTTTCCTGGAAGTTTTAGAAGTAATCTACGTCATACACAGGCATATATAATGACTTATTGATGTCCCGTTTGCAACACATTCTGATTGTGATACTGTGTAACAATATTTATGAAAAGGGAGTCATAGAAAGTCTAGTATACCGTAATTGGAAATCGCTATGAGCATAATACTATGCTACTTATTTATTTTGTTTTATTCAAAGTGTTATATTTTGTTATTCACGTTTTCTTGCTTTTACTTACAACATCTCCTTTTTCAAATCCTGCAATGACTCTGAATATTATACGAATTTCGGTGAAGAAGTCCTTGTATTGATCCATAATCGAGTCGACGAGCGCCTCCTCAAAAGGACACTTGGGAGTGAGGCCTGAAAAATCAAGCCCGTTGTTTGATTCAGGTTCACACATAAAAAGTTGAAACACACCGAACTTTCTCGCGAGGAATCGAGCAATAGCATGGGACTGTGCGAGCTGTTGGCCATCAACTTCAAGTACTGGCATCTGGCCGAATGGCATCTCTGAAACAAAACTAATAAAAGCAATTTCGGTAATTCTTCAGCCGCAGAGGTCACTGACCTGACTTGTGCTCTGGCCACTCATCAAAACTGTAGCGAAAGTCCTCGAATTCCTCGCCAGCAAGGGCAAAAATCTGAGTAACATTAGCTTGATCAAAACTTGTGGCAACATGGGAAATTTTACCTGCCGTATAACCTCTCCCAGTCCGCGAATATTAAAATAAATGAGTTTGTAGTGAACCATGCTTTATCTATAAAGAGCCTCAGATTTAATGTACGATATGATACGATGTCCGTGGCGGGATAACAAAGATAATCATAAAATGAGGGTGAAAATATTTATACTGCGAGATCAGTAAGAGCACTATAGTCTGCAAGGACTGGTTAGATGAGCAGGAAAAGGCATCTACTCAGTCATTCACGTTTCATAAGTCGCTATCAGGACACCAGATACTGGAAAAAAAGTATCGACAAGAGAAGTGGTGGTCACCACAGAGGTTATTAAGACTTTTGTTTACAATATTTAAAATGAAAAATTACTCTCATATAACATGAATTATACTTTTTTGAAGCGCTCACGTTCTATCATAATACTGTTTTGATTCCAGATAACTTATCAGTTTTCTAAGAAGTGAAGTTATCTATTGCGTTGTTGAAGTTCGCGCAATTTTCT